TTGAAGGTAGGTAGTGTTATTCAGCCAGGAATTTAGGGATGATGGTAATATAGTGTACCTGTGCACTTTGTGGTGAACTCATAGATGATCTGTTGAGATAGCAGGAAGCTGTCTTTTCTTCCTCCCAGATCTCACACACACACACACACACACACACACACACACACACACACACACACACTGCAGACACAACAAAATACATCTTACTGATGTCAACTAATAGACCAAAAATATTTACTGGTATAACTATGTCACATTAACCATATAGAATCCATTCTATTATCTTTATTATTTAATGTTTTTTCCTACTACTGATGTCTTTTTTAAGCAATGAAGTCACACACTTCAGATAATCGAGGTATAAAATTTAGTATTCTAATACCAACCCATATCTGTGTGGTGATATCTTGCTTGAACTAATAAAGCTTGTCTTGGGGTCAGAGAATAGAGTTTTTCTTTAGTTAGCCATAGAGGTCTGGAGGTCTGTACAGACAGACAGGAAGTGATGTAACTGGGCAGAAACAGAAACAGGAAGTCATTCTCTTGTCTGCTGAGATGCTAAGGAGGTAAGGTGTGCTGTAGCTTGCTCCTTCTCTTATCTCTCAGCATTTCCCTTTATATCTGACTCTGGCTTTTATTATCTAAACCAATTAAGAACTCCTTTTACATATCTGTGTTGGAGAGATTTTTAAAGAAAAATTTACATAGATGTGATCTTCATAGCCACTATTAGAAAATTTCAGTGAATCTTCAGATTGATTCAAATGTTAAAGTACTATGATAATTTGTTGCAAAGAATAAATACTTGATTATTATGAGATGAAATATGTAACTTTGGATCTAATAGTACATTTTAAGACTGACATTGCATTGTAGTATTTTCAAACTTTGTGTTAGAAATAAGCCAACAACCTATTTGAAAGCCACCAGACTTTTTGAAAGATAAGTCCCATGTGAACACATAGAATAATATTATAATTTTATTTTTTATCTACTAAAGAAATACAATTACTTTTTGTGAAAAATGAAGAAGACACCATAAATCTTAATTTAACATCTTAGTAATTTCATTTTCCATGATGCCATGTAGTACTATTTGATGTACCTGGAAAGGATATGCAGTGAAACTTTCAAACACCCAAATATTAACATCTAGTATTTTCTATATAAATAACCTCTTCTCATTTTCTTATAGAGATACCCATTGCTTGTGTAGGTATAGATGACATTTGGAGAAAAAGATGATAGATGATTGCTAACTTTGCTTGTGTAGGTAGAGATGATAGTTGGAGAAAATGAAGATACATGATTGCTAACTAGATAGATGTTAGATAGATAGATGATATATTTATTGATTTTAGTTCTGCCACTAGAATATCAATCAACTACTTACAAATATGCAGTTAATTAGTATGTTTTGACTTCTCAATTTGAAAACTCAAAATCAGTACCAATGCCCTTTTTTTAATATCAAATTTTGATGTTAGTTATTAGTGTCTCTATAGCCTAAAATAGCATTAAGGAATTATCTGAGGTTCTAAATAAAAGAAATAAAGTTATCCAGAATAGAAGGGAACTCTAAGGTAGAGACATAAGTGGTTGGATCTTTACAGGAAAAAAATAAACCAAACCATAAGGCCAATATGGCAAGAGGTCTAAAAGGTATGCTTGGGAATGCAGGGGTGGGCTTCAGGGTCATATGGACCTCTATCAACTCTTTTCCCTGGAAACACTGAGAAAACTGGAATCCACCATTTTCAAAACTATGGCAGTTAATCAGAGGTTTGCAGCAATCTAGGAAGTAGCTTAATTACTAAAAATATCTAATGAAACATTTGGAATTATAGCTTTCTGGATTCCTAGTACAACTTCTTGAGTGCTGTGGGAACACTATGAAGCAAGAACAGTCAATCACAAGGGGTAGAATAGAGATGCAACATTCAGTGCCTCATTCTCAGAGAGCTGCTGTTATTTTTCACATTTGAAAGTTCTCTGTGAAAATGCTTTGGCACAGAACCTTTTATTAAATGTAACTTGTAACTCACCCACTGCAAAATTCTTTTTTCCTGAAGACATTTATCAAAAGTATTTATAGATATCTTTTTTTTAGTTTGACAAGTACCTGAGGCAATATATTACAGCGAGAACAAATAATAGACTCATATTCATTCTTAAGAAGGGAAATCAATGGATTTGTATTGCATAGGGGTTTGGAAAGTTTCATATGCTCCTAAATATCTAGATGGTCTCATGCATGTATGGGGTAGTGAGTACATAATGCAGTGTGGACTAAATTGTGTCATTCCAAAATTCATATTGATTCCATAAACCCTATTATCTCAAAACATAACTTGGAAATGCAAGAATTAGGGTAAACTGAAGTCATATTGGAAGTGACTTATACAATAACTGATTATTTTTAAGAAGCCAAGAAGAAAAGCACACACAGACCCTGTGAAGAGACTGTGAGAAGTTGCCGTGTTTAAGAAGAGGGAGGAGGCCTTTTAGAAATCCAACATTGGTGGTTCCTTGATCTTGAAATTATTTTAATTAATTGTTTATTGTTGTGATAAAGCGCCATAACCAAAAGCAATGGGCAGAAAAAGGATTCTTTCAACTCCTAGCTTACAGTCCATCATCCAGGAAAGGCATACCAGGATCTCAAGACAGGAAGAGAGGCAGTACCTGATGCAAAGGCCAAGGAGGAGTGTTCTTTACTGCCTTGTGCTCCCTGGATTGCTTCTGCAGCAAGAAGATACCTCCAGACTCACCTATAGGCCAGTCATATGGAGGCATTTTCAAAGATTCTATCTTCCCAGATATGTCTAGTTTTATGTCAAGTTAATAAAAGAAGAAACCAAAAGAGCAGCCCACACAGAGTTCTATTCTTTAGAAAAATAGGAAAACTAATTGCTGTTTTTAAACCCCACTGTTAGTAGTACTCTATGGCAGTCCTATCAGCAAATAACCTCAAGCATGTAAGTGTTCAGGAAAGACCACAGAAGACCTCCTCAACTCTGTCTGACTCACACACACAGATCTCCACCAACATTTGGTGACTTAGCCTAAGAATTTATAGACACCACTTCCATTTTAAATACCTATGCTGTCAAATGATGATTAATGTAGGTATTATGGATTTAGTTCAAGAGACTTAGCCTTACAAAATACAGTTCAGCTTTTCTCAACACAGGTTCTATCCATTTAACAGCTAGTTTCCCAGACCAAATATATGGTAGGTTTTTCTACATTGACACCCATATTATAGATCTGTTTCCTCCCCTCTTTTTATTCATCCAGCATGTCTTGCACACCATGTATCCTGATCCCATTGCATCCACCTTCTGCCCCTGCAAGCCCGCCCCCAATAAGAGAAAAAAAGGAAAAAAATTAAAAATCTCATCATGGAAGCTGTCTTAAGCTGTCTTGTGATACAGCGTTCCACACAGTAAACCCTTTTGTCCGTATATCTTTACTTGAAAATGTTTGGAGCAAAGAGTCATTGGTCTGGTTCGAGGTCTTTGGTTTCTACTACACTGTGGATGCTCAGTACTCTCTGAGACTCTTCTTGGATATCCTAATGTTGCCCTGTGTTCTAGTGATCCTATATCTTTGGTTCTATGAATCAGGCCTCTTCACATGAATCCAAAAGATCATAGTTGGGGTGGATATTGGGGCAGGTCACATCGAAACCACGGTTCTGGGCCTGGGCAGCTGCAAGGTTGGTCAGCCCACATGTTCTCCCCTGTCCTCACCACCAGGGTGAGGTCTCCAGTATTGCCCTGGTAAATTCACACTTGCAGCAATGAAAGAGGGGTGGTGTCAGTTCTTCTGCTCACATGCCCTCAGGTTTGGCTCTCCCCTACCTCCACCATCAGGACCGGCTCTGCCGAGCTTCCCAGGTGAGGAGTATGGGCCACTCTCCTGAGTGCTGCAAGGCCAGGGTCAGCCCTCCATCTCTTCTGATGCCAGGGTCAGGTCCTCCATCTGTCTCAGGCATTGATGGGGGAAAGGCATCTCTCCTATGCCCATGAGTAATGAGGACCGTGCTCCCTTGCTCATAACATTGGTGCTGGGTCACCCACACCTCTGAAAACTGGTCCACCTCTGTTGTTCTGTGCTGCCTAGGCTGAGGTTCAGGACCGCTGCCCTTAGTGCTGAAGCTGGCAAGGGAGAAGGTAGTCTCATTCCTCTGCTGCAGGCAGTAAGGGGTAGGGGGTGAGGCAATGAGGGGATAAGGGGGGTTATCTCTCCCCCACCCACACAACTTGTCTGACTTGTCCACACCACAACCAATAGGGTAGGCACTATTGCTTTGCCCAGGTGAGGTTCAGGGTCTATTCTCCTGAGTATTGCAACTGTTGGGGATGAGGGGCAGCTCTCCCACTCTTATGGCCACAGGCATTGATAGTGTATGAATGTGTGTGGGGAACCTTAACAAACTGTATACAACAAATAAACAACATGCAAGTGCAAATAAATGAATTCAACGATTTGTTATTGATAGAGGAAACATTCTAAATGAATCAAGAATATTGCTATTTATATATTTTATAGTCATTTTGTTACTGCTGAGGAAAAATGCACAAAGCCTAAAAGGTAGGAGTTGTTGTCTCAATAGAAGCAATTAAATTATACATTACAGCTACACTTTCGTACTTTTATACCTCAAACACTAAGTATACTTTTAGCCCAAATGGCAATCTGACATCAGGTCTGAGTAAATAGATTCTGAAAGCTTAAAAATTTGTAAACAGAGTTTGTTTCCATGTACAAGACAACATAATGCCACCTCTAACAAATGAAGAAATACCTGTGAAATGTTATTGATAAGCATTGATCATAAATCCATAAACATTTCTCTCATAGTGTTCACTGTGCGATATTTAAATTTCTTTTCGTGTTGTTGCCTAAGATACTCTTAATTCACATTTTGCTTTTTATAGGAAGCAACGTTTGATTTCTGTTTGTAAAGTCTCTCATGTTTCTTTCATTTGCAGTTTGGTCGCCACTAAGGAAACAAACAGTGCAAGATCTCGAAGTGCTCCAATGTCACCTTCTGATTTTCTGGACAAACTAATGGGGAGGACATCTGGGTATGATGCAAGAATCAGGCCTAACTTCAAAGGTAGCTATTGTGCTTACTTCTTACTGTGCGGTGTGCTTAAAGAAGTTAATATTTCAAATTGCTTCCACAGGAAGTTGAGGGGGTGGGGGTAGAATAGGGGGAAGAGGGAATCATAGGATCGAAGACAGATCAGGCACCAGAGTGACCTCGAGTGATCTAAAGGTATAACATCAATTGGCAAGCTAAGCAATAGTGGAGGGACCACCTCGAATGCCCATTCCTGATAATGAACTTGATGTCTATAACTATCCGGGAGCCTTCATCCTGGGACTGATGGAAGCAGAGGCAAACACACAGCTAAGCACTGAACTGAACCCAAGGAACCCAGTGACAGAGAGAGAGGAATGATGAGCAAATTGGCAAAGAATGGGCTGGCAAAACCAACAGAGACAGCTGATCTGAACAGGGGAGTGCTCTTGGACCCCAGACCGACAGTGGGGAGGCCAGCATGGGACTGATCCAGACCCCCCAAATGTGAGTGTCAGTGAGAAGGCCTGGACAACCTATGGGGCCCTGAGCTGTGGATCAGTGTCTATCCCTGGTATACAATCTGTCTTCATGTGCCTATAGCACAAAGAGAGATGCTCTCTCAGCCTGGACTCTTAGGGGAGTACCTTGACCCTACCAAGAGTAAAATGATAGACTCTAGACATCCCCTATGTGGAAGGATTTGGCAATAGGGTGGGAGGGAGGGTGGAAGGGGAGTGCGGGAGGAGGGGAGGGAGAGGGAACTGGGATTGACATGTAAAACAAGCTATTTAAAATTAAAATAAAAAAATACACACACACACACAAAAAAGATATAACAAATCGCTTCCACCAGACACTACAATGCTTATTTCCAATAGTGTTTGAGATATACTGTGTTAATAAGAGTTGTACCTGCATCAGAAAAGCCTGGTTTTCATTTTCAGAGATAGCATAATGTGCCTGCTTTGAACAAACAGTACTATTCTTTCCTTAATATTTATTGGTTTGGTTTTGATTTTTCTAAGGCAAGATCTTGCTGTGCAGTCTATGGAGCCCAAGCTAAAATCAAGCATCAAGCTCATGGTCATTCTCCTGCATCAGTCTCCATAATGTAGTATTATAGGTGTACATCACCATGCATGGGTTCTAAATAGTTTTATTTCATATATCAAATTATATCACACATCAACTCTGTGTGTGTGCGTGCGTGCATGCACATGTATGTATGTATAAATTACTACCTGTTATTTCATCGTCTGGAACAAAAGCCCAACATCCAGAGTTTAGGTTTTATATCTATGTCTCTATAAATGAGAAGCAACCAGAAAAAAATAATAAATACCTTTTTTATTGACAATATGGGAATTAAACTGACATAGTTTTTGAGCTCTGATTTGTCTGAAAATCTTCATTGTAAAATTAATAGGCACTTGCTAGAGCAATTTATATTTTAGAAAGTACTAATTATAAAATGCATATACTTCCATCCTGATTGTTTGTTCACTATTCACATCTTCTATTAACATATTTACTTTGTCATAATCAATGAACTAGCACCCCTATCTTGCCCAGAGCAAGTCTTTATGTTGAAAAGATTTTACAGGCTATACACATTCATAAAAGCATGGTACCATTTCTACATCATAAGCATAGTTACACTGCACTAAAATTCTACCTCTAAATTTAAGATTGCATAGTCAAAGTCATACTTAATAATATTGCTTATTCATATCAAACTGCACCAAGTTTCTTCTGAGTGAGAGAGTGCAATTTAGTTCAGAACATCGAGTTGATTTGTGTGGGCATTATTGCATCTTTTGTATTTTCCTCCTAACCATTTTCTCTTTCTCTTTCACTCTGTCATTTTAAACATATTTTCTCTAGAGAATGAAATTGGAAAGGAAAGGCTTTCTGAGTCCGACCTTTGCTTGGTGTCGAGTGTTGAGTTTTGTCATGCAACGGTTTGGCTGTGAACGTTCCTTACAAACACAGGTGTTGAGCAGTTGGTCTCATGGGGTGTGATATAACTTCTAACTGGTAACGTCTAGCTCGAAGGATGGTTGCTAGAATTGAACAATTTAGCCTGGACTGAGCTCTCTGCTGCTCTGTAGACTTCTGAGGAAGCCATACCTTATTTCTGCCACCCAGAGCAAACTGGTCTCAGCCATCTTGTTTTTCTTGTCATGATGAAGTGTATACCCTAAAACTGGGAGCAAAATAAAACCTAGAAAAGCCATTCTACATGGTTTCTTTACTCTTCCACATTACAATGAATGCTCCTAATACACTATGCTTACTGGCTAGGAAAGAAGACTTTACTCTTGAAGCATGGAAAAGTATCATGTCTGTTCCAATTGTCACCAAAGTTATTTACAATGTTTCAAAAGCTCTGGAAGCCAATAACAGGCCTGTTACACAGGAAATGAGGAAGAAGGAAGTTTCTGATGTCCTTTTACTCAGTCCTGCTCCATTCACTTGTATTCTCATTCTTTATCTCATCTGACAATTATCTTTAAGAGCCTTTTACTTTTTATGCCATTAAACTAATTATGAACGTCCCCCCATTTTCTTTGGTACATTAATTCTCACTTTTGTTTGGCAATTTCTTCTTCTCTAGACAGAAAGAAAGCTGTTTTCAGGGCTTTATTGGAGTAAAAATTTTCTGGTATCATTTGAAACTTGAAGAAATCTTAATAGGACAATTGAACAGCAAATAAAAATTTGATCATATTATATAACAACACTGTAGTTAACTAAACTATTCTAGCAGTCACTTTTGGGATTCACTTCTCTTAGTTGTTACTAATCTTGGTTCCTTCCATTGGCCTTTCATGAACTTTAATAGAAATTGGACTTCAGCAGAGAGTATTATGTTAATTATCACTCAATTCTCAAATCCTCACAAATATTTATTTGTTTTCGCTCTGTTACTCTAGTGCCAGTGTTCACTCTTTTTATGGATAGAAATAACATTATTTTCATAGTATCGTTGTGATTTCTTTCTACTTGCAATATTTCTCTATATTAATACACTTCTGAACATATTACAAATCAATTAACACTGCTAGTGACTATCTGACCACCACATTTACATATTCACATATACAAAAATTAAATGTTTACATATTTATATGTGTGTAAATATATATAGATAATATTATATATGCTATCTGCAGGATAACAGTGCATTGTTCCTACACACACACAAACACACACACAATATATATATACATATATATATATGATGAATATTTTAAGGATTTTACTTTCTTATTTTAACCATTTCTATGCACCAAGACACTATTTTTCTTCCTACTTTGGGGAAACTGTTTTCTATTTGCATGTCTATGTATTGGAAGATCATTGTGACAGGGTTGAGGTAGATGCTTTTCTAAAATAATAAATGTCTACATGTTCAAAGTATATTTTACTTTTCTTCTGTTTTTACTGTTAAATATGTTTTGTTTTGTTTGGTTTTTGTTTGACTTAAGACAGGGTTTCTCTGTATTGCTTTGGAGCCTGTCCTGGAACTCTCTCTGTAGACCAAGTTGGCTTCCAACTCACAGAGATCAGTCTGCCTCTGCCTCCCGAGTGCTGACACTGAGAGATGGCTCAGCTGTTAAAGGCTAGGCTCACAGCCAAAAATCTAAAAATGTTTTCATTGAAATAGAATTACATCACTTTCCTATTACCTTTCATCCTTCCAGCCCCTCGCAGTTACCTTCCCTGTAATCATTCCTAAGCCTCCCAATCTCAACTTGATAGCCTCTTTTTCTTTCATTACTGTGCTATATGTAGATATGTACAAATACACATATATTTAAATTGCTTTTGTTGCATGCATATATGTGCAAATGCACAAATATATGAACACAGTCTGTTATTGTTGATTGTATATATCAGGTTCCAGGGCTTACCACTCTGCATTTGACAGCCAAAAGGCATGTTCATCACAGAGAAAGCTAATTATCCTCCCTGCAGTCATTCATTTCCTCTAGATCTTTGTGTAGGGATGAGGACACAAAAAATTCTCTTTCATGCTATCATATCCATTGATATCCTAGGAAATACTGTTTACAGATGACTTGTTGATCCTCTGGGTCTTACAGTCTTTTCATCCACTCTTGTAAGATATTCTCTGAGCCATAGATGGAGGAGCTGTGATCTAGATATATTAATCGGGGTTGGCTCCCCGCAGTCTGTTGACTTACCTTTAAATTACTATTTTATGTTACTTTAATTTCAAAACATCCTCAAACTAGCAAAATAACAAGAACAGTGAAACCCCCAGCTTTTAAAATTAAACTATTTCAATGTAAGTTGGTGGTCTGAAATTGTGCTAGAAGCAAGACCATTAACTTTGACAACCACTAAAACTAGCAACATACATGAAGATATCATTTCCATCTAACTTCTAAATTCTTAATCATATTTCATGTAATTTAAATAATAATGACTCCCTAACAATGTTATCCACTGTCAGTTATAATCACTGTCTCCTTCAGTCTGTGACATCTCTTCATTTTAAAACTTGAAGATGTAATTTTCATAAACTATATTCTAATTAGTTTCTCTCTCCTAACTGCTCCCATACCCTTTCAATCTTCTCACCTACCCAAATCCATACCCCTTCTTTCTCCCTTATTAGAAAGCAAACAGACACCAAGATTGATCTTGGCATTAAAATATTTTTCAGTACTTAAACTACCTTGCATTTGTCAAGTATTTCCTCAACTGTTTTTATAGTGCATATTGGCTGTAATATTATAGGTTGCATCTTATCAAACATAAGTCATGTTGGTATTTATCATTACTGGTAACTTTCACGTGTAATACTTATGTCGTATCCATTAAAATACACCTACATATAGGAGATATATCTAGGCACACATATACAAACATTGCATAAACACATTTGTACAGATGTCTGTATTTACATCCTTATATGTCATCACTGAAGGCCATAATTTCACATTGATATTTACAATACTAGTAAATGTAAGTTTATACTAGTTTATACTAGTTTCTCA